GGCGGGACTAACGCTGGGGAGAAGAAGACCTTAAGCAGGGTCAACCGTTACGTTGGACCGATATTGGAGCGACGTTGGACCGATGTTGACCGCTCTCCGCGCCGGCATTCACTCTCGCCACCCGCGAGCCGTCTGTGTCTCCGTGCGTACGTTCACTCTCGGCATTACTCTCGTCGTCGCGTTGGACTTTGTCCAACGGACGGTTGACCCTGCCTCCAGGGGGTGCCCCTCTGCATTGAGTAATCGTCACGACTACTTCTAGCTGGATTTTCTAAGATGCGCATTACGATACCAGCTGTTGTGCTGTCAACCAGTCAAGTAGTGCTCAAAATGAAGTTTGAAACCGTCTATATAGCTCGCATTTCTAACAGTCAGCCAAAAATTTTTCATGATTTTTTTTCCTTCCAGCCTATGCTTCCGAAAAGCTACTCAGAATGGCGGCATTGCCTGATCGCTGGATCCCCAGTGAATAGGAGTGGCAGTCTCAAGGTTTCATTAAACTCTTCTAAGCTTTTGATCAATTTGTTATTATATCACTGTACAGGTCACTTCAATGGAACAAGAAGCTGGTCGCCCAGAAGATTCCGGAATATCCTCTTACAGATCTATAACAGAGATATATCATGCAGCTGAAACAGCTGAGCAGGGTAAACCCGAGGAATCTCGTAAAGGTGAACACTTATGAAATGATAGTGGTCTGCAAAACTCAAGGGCGTAACCTTTCCGCGTATACTGCCGTGTAACATAACTCGAGTGATCTTAATAATGCATAGACGGAACTACTACAGTACAGTAGAGAAAGCAAATCAGAACCTGCTGTAAGGTGCTCAGAAATTCTAATAAGTCATGCTAATCCGTCCATCTCGTCCCTAAGTTTTGCGCGCCGGTGTAGTTTCCAGGCTGTCCATATTATCTCGTTTGAGCTTCATTTGACCTTGGATTTCACCGCTACTCATCAATAATGTGCCACACAATTCCTCCATATAACGCTTGATTGCTATTCAGTTGTTGCAAAAGGTTGTGATCTTTCAGGAGAACTTATTGTTGAACATCGTGATGTGTCCTCGGTTGAAGTGCTTGAAAAATGTGTTCTACCAATTCGAGGATTTGGCGCGCGAAAGTTGACCGAGCAAGAACTAGGTTGGTACCTTCATTGCAGAGTATTCTCAACCTTCATGTTCCCATTATCTCAGAGTAGAGTTATCCACGGGTTGAAAACTAGCAGAAAAATCTTTTCCGCCCCATAGGGCACTCCACCGCCACCCTCGGAAGGGGGCCATAGTTGCATTACGAATCCTACGTTTCTCACCTCAAACAATATTACAAAGAAAATCGTCAAGGAGGGAACGGTGTACGTAGCACGTTTTTGTTACAGTCACAACAATGAAAGGACTAACATTTCCCCAGGTTCCACGAAATTTCCAAAATTCTATGAAAGTCATGCGAAAATGAAATATTTTGCAGAAAATCTTTCAATGCTAAGTCAACTTCAATATATCAAAGCACTGATCCTGCCCATTTCTGATTCCGTCTAAACTCTTAGAGCCACCTATCCTCCCCCCCCCCCCCCACGCTAGGGAGCTCCGACGTGTTGACTCACTCTGTTACGAACAAAGGTCGCAGAAGTGGGGGAACGTCAGCATAAGATGATACACAGATTCCTCTAATTGGCCTAGTCATACGACGAAACTTATTATATCATTGAGGTTCAATGATGTTGAAGTTAGTCGGCATGTGTAGAAGTTGTCACTGACCACACCACAAGATCGTGGCCGAACTTAATATAAGGGAAACTATCAATTCAGTGAACTGGCCGGCGGCAGTAGGGAAAGCTATTTTAGTCAGCAGCAAAAGGTACACCAAACTTCGATTGAAGATATGAGAGGCGTGTAAGCTTTACCTGTAATGGGTTATCGCATACCGTCATCCATCAGTTTTACCCAAATCCTACAGTCCGCTGACTACTTGTATTCACTACACATTAGCGTCTACACCATGTATGTTGATGCTAGAAGGGCGATCCATACTTTATTTCAAGCTTTTTCGATTGAGCATTCAGCTGTTATTCCGACCTTCAAATCCCATCAAACCAAATTCCTTAGAGCGTTTTTCGCCCATTTATTGGATCGGAACATAGTATCGTAGCGCTTGCATTTGACGCACAAAACAGAAAATACAGAAATTGAAACAGAAAATATAGACATCGGACAAATAACTGATGTTCGCTTCATCATTATTTGCGACTTCGACTCCATTTCTCAGGAACTCATCGGGTTTGAATGGAAAAAAATATTGAGCAGTTTCTTCATTCGTTTTCGAGGTCCTCATTATTTTCAATTCAAATAATGATTATGGTTTGATTTAGCGAAAAGGGAAGTATCGATTAGAGTTAGGTTCGATGAGAACGATGCACTCTGAGATCTCCGTTTCGGGAGTTCGTTCTTTATGAAAGTCAATGAATACCAGCTGTCAAAACGCCGATATCTCTCGCCTGAATTTTCCAACTCCTAAGCACTATATCTGAGTATTTATAATATTAAAAATATGGTTCAACGGTATTGGAGAGAGGGGAAGCATTTCCAAATGCTATGCGCAGTTCTCCGGATAATATTTTGTATTAATTCGCTCGAAAAAAAGCACTACGATAATTTGTTACAATCGAAATATAAAGTCCCCTGAAGTATTTATGTGTGGAGTCCAATAATCAGGAGTACGAATGAAGCCTTGCATTTCGCTTTCTTAATTTATAACATGCATTGTTTAGGTCGATGGCGGCAATTGCTTGTGAGAGATGCGACATTCAGGCGTCAGTTGATGATGACGACTAGTATTCAAGAACTAGACGACATCTCACAACAACCCGAATACCGTAATCTATTCACACGTGAGAAATGGGCGCAGATTATGCAATGTGTACATAATGCGCTCAATCAGGTAAGATTCGCTTGATTACATTTATACTTACTTCATCGCAACTCTAGAGTTGGGATGAAAAGGGGTGGAACTCGGGTTCGGGCTGTTCGTCCGCTCCTCGAAGGCTTAGTCCACAGGGACAGTTCACTCTTTCGCCATTATGTGGCAGTTTCAAAATACGCGCCATCGGTGACTAAGCCTTGGTAGAGCAGACGAAAACAGCGCCGCGCCATCGCGTGCCCCCCCCCCGAACCCGAGTTACACCTGAAATGGTGCCCCGGTAGCGTAACTGGTAGCGCACTTGCCCGGAAAGCGAGAGGTGCGGGTTCTAGTCCCGCCTGGGGCGAAAGTTTTGTTCACAACCCAGCATTCTTGTGAAACATTCGCAAGGCGAACTGCGGCCAAAAACAGCAGTTAACAAACAAAAACAAGTCAAAATGCATTATACTAGAACTTTTTCAGTAGTTTGGAAGCAAACCATCCGAAGGAATCAATAGTGTCTATCTAAGCACTCCACTATCTCAATTTTTGCCTCTTCTCTGTCCCTCTTTATCCCTATTCATCTATTTCGACTTCTATCCATCTCTACCTATTTTATTTATAACTATATTCATCTCTGTACTAGTCTGCTTCTGCCTGCAACTTTACCGCCATTTTGGTTCGTTTTTTTTCTGTTTTCTGCTTCGCTCTCCATTTTTGCCGCTCTCTTCCCCTGCCCAAATTTAAGTATAGCTCCATCTACCTACCAACATTCACAATTCGAATTCTCAAATTGCGAAATCATCTTTATCCGATCCCCAATACCCGGTAGGGTGCGGTACTTTCCTTAAAAATATCCCTACGATCTTCGAGTCGGCCTCACTGGACAATCATTCGATTCAGTGCTTTCAGACTACTGCTCCATTGCTCGAGAATGCGACGTCCAACACTCAACTAAATGTCTACATTGGTAATGTAGGGTCCGACTGGTGATCAAAATGTGTCTTTCTAGTTGCGTTTTCACTTAAAACACATTGCATTATATTGTACGATACGGTGGTGACTCATATG